GGAGGGGAAGAGGGAGGAGGAGGGGAAGAGGGAGGAGGAGGGGAAGAGGGAGGAGGAGGGGAAGAGGGAGGAGGAGGGGAAGAGGGAGGAGGAGGGGAAGAGGGAGGGGCAGACAAAGAGGGAGGGGGGACATCTGGCATTGTGTTGGTGGTGATGGGGATGCTGATGGTGTGTGTGCCTTCTGCACTTTTCCAAGGGAGAATTGCATTGGCTGGGAGCATTGAAGAGCCATACTTTCATGAGCTGTACAGCTTGGTGTGATGTGGCTCTGCAATACTCACCCAAGGAACAATGCTGGAAGAAGGATCTGTCATTCCTAAAAGTGGGTTGAGCAGTGCATATGCCAAAGATGTGGGTCCACCCATATCCCCTCACAGTATCACCTGTTGCTCTTGCCCAGGGAATAGTGCAGGGATGTCTTGCCAAGTCACTGGCTGACACTCATCACCATGGGATCTCCAACACATTGATGTATATGCCAAAGTTGCAGCCTGTATCCCCTTTCATACTGGGGCAGGAGTTGAGCCAGATGGCTTCCCTGCTCCCCCTCCCTCCTCTCCCTCCAGCCTTTTGACAGCCTTCCCTTTCTTCAACAGAGCACAGGCTTGCTGATTTGGATGGGCAGAAGACTTATGTTTGTCCAGTGTCAGAGCCTTGGGATGCCAAACCTGGTTCAGCTGGGCACCTTGCAGTGTCTTCCCATCTCTTTTCAAGATGCAGTGTTCCTCCAATATCCAGGCATCTGTATAGCACTCATCTCTCCAGTGACCTGTCTTTTTGTTGACCAGTGCTTCCAGGATGGGCACTCCATCATGCAAGAGATCCTTTCTCAGCCTTTCCTCCTGCACGGACTCATGTGTAATGCCAACAAAGTTCCAGACCCATGGAGCATTGTTGATTGAGTGGGGGATGTTGTGGAGAAGAAGGGAATCGAAGAAGTTCAGCATGCCAAGGAGGTTGTGTGTCTTGCATTACAGGATCAGCCAGGCTTGTATGCATTTCCTGTAGGGCATAGGGCACCCTAGAGCCTCCCATTCAATTGCAACAGCCCATTTGTTTTCCAGAGGGCTGTACTGATTGAGGATGGCTTCATTGGAGACATGGGCAAGCCTCCATGATGCAAGGTCTAAGAAGTGCTTGTGTGCATGTTGGAGGAGGGCAACCCAGGAGGGATTGATAATGCCCAGAGTGTCAGCATTGTCTGAAGATGCTGTCAGGGCACCAGCTCATTGCTTGGTCAAGAGACATGACTAAGCCTTTATGACATGGAAGTAGCTGGTATACCTTGGCATGTGCTGGAACCTGCTGGAAGGATTGGATGGTCAGGTGACCTGCTGTGCATGGCT